GGAATCGCGGAAGTGCCAATGAGTCCGGACTTTCTACTGTATCAGTAAAAATCTGGAAAAGTAGGGGTATGTCATACGGCAGTCCCCCAAAAATTGAGTTTTGCACCAACGTTAGAAGCGATCACTTTGTTGGTGAATTATGTATTGTGTGAGCATCATTCGGGCAGCTGGTGTGGAGCCAATTTTCACAGTTAAATTCAGATTGTCTTTTAGAAAGGCAAAGAAAGTTTCCAACAACTTTGTTTTTCAGTAACCTCGAGAATCAAGAGACTCGTATGCACATGTGTAGTGCATGTTGAACTAATGAAAATACCTTCCCATTCTCGTATTAAACAAAATCAATTTAATCCTAGTATACAGTACTATGGAGGAATCAAATGCGTATGCGTAAGTAAAGCACACACACAAAAAAAAAAAGTTCGTGGTGGCTTTGAGGTGCTGAATTTAGATCATTACAGATATTGGATGTCCGGATCTCGGACTTTGTACTGTATGTAATTGGCAAATTTTTGTGTTTTCAAGTGGTACCATAATTAATTTACCTCTCAGCGCAGCCAACAGGCACTATGCAGTTAGACTGGAATTTACTTAAAACACACCCGCAAAAGTGAGGGAATTTCATTCTCCTGTGTGAGTGGCAATCCTGCATTAAGTTATAAATCTGTTTTCCCATTTGTGCTAAGTAATTAAACTTGTTTCAATTTGGGGATAAGAGTAAATATTAGTTTTTCCCGAGTTTAATCTGTGTTACCTAAATAACGGTTTAACCATGTGTAATACGAGTTTACAGTTTTTAACAAGGACAAGTTTACACTTTCCTGAGTGACTTGAATAATCTACTGCTTTTGCTATCCTCGTAATCAGCAAGTGGAAGGGGAAACATTGTTTAGTCCTATCAGGGTGAACTCACTTATGCTTATACAGTCAAAAGTCTTTAATCCGGACTCGTCGGGACTTCGGCGATTCCGGATTATAGATCATCAGTTTAAATCTGGTAAGATGGCATGCAGAAATTATAAAATTAAAAATATGAAATAAAGAGCAATTATGATCTAAAGGGTATCAAAATTTACAAAAAAAAAAAAAAAAGCTTAATATTTATTTATTTACTTTATTAAACATTTCTTTCAATGCGCGCATGCGTAAAACATACATCACACACTGTCGAAATTAGAAAATTGCAACTAGAAAATTATTTGATGTGAATTCATGATATTTATAATGACGAGGAATTTGATTTAGATCATATCAAAGCCGGAGTACATCGTGATGAAATACTGCATTTAGTAAGGAATTATAAGCTGAATAAAATAAAAACATCTGCCCTGAAGATAAGGATAGTGCGGACAGATCAATTTCCAGTTCATTGCGCGCCACAACGTTTCCCTTCTCCCGCAGAGCAGTGTAAAATCTTCCCTGGATCCTAAATGATTGCTTAAAAAGGAGTACTTTATGTGCAAGTACATAATCCAAAATCAATGGTATTCATTAAATCTAATACATGCACAATATTTAATGAATACTAAACATATAAATGATACTGAACCTTGAATTAAATTTTGCCATATCTCTATGAAGGAAGGTTGTAGCATAAGTAAAAAACAATAAAGAAACTAAAGGTGCAAAACGTTATTATTTGAAAGGAAAATCCTACAGAAACAATATCACATAGAAGTTGTTTTTCTGGGTTTTTTTCTTTTCTCTTAACACCACTCACCACTAGAATTGCTAAGCCTTTGTCCCATTAAAAATTTGTCTGCTGTAAGTTTTTTCTATATTTTAAAATATTCCTAAAGCAAGACATATTGTCATTTCATATGTTCATGCTATAGCTTACTACTTCTTTTATTAGAGTAATAATGCTCTATAACAATGGTTCTCAAACTTTTTTATCCCATACATCATTGCTAGAAGATCATCTCCCACCCTCCTTTCCCAAACTAAAAAAAAATACATACATTTAGATTATTTTTTAATGTCTGTTATAAATTAAATAAAAAGTATGAAATGTTGATAAATACCACAACATGAATAAAACATTTTTTTTTATATTCATAAACTAAAAATTAAATACTTAAACATTAAATAAAAGGCTAACTGCATTCCTTCCGCTTAAGCTATGAAATTCTCCCCAGGGGGAATTCTTCCCTGCATTATGCATTTATATGTGAATTTCATATGAGTAAAAACACCTTTCCTTTCATCTTCTCATGAAGACATTTCTTCCACTGCACTAACTGCATGTTATCATTTGTTGCTGTACTCATTCATATCTCAAGATGCTGTTTGTCGATCAAGACATTTTTCATCTGGAAAATTTGTAAATTGTTCGGGGTCAAAGCCATTTATGAACGAAGGTTCCATATTTCACAGTACTTTAGCCAAACGGATTATTCTGTAACACTTTAGAAGATCACAAGAACAGTGCACTTAAAATGCCATCTTGATTATTAATCCGTATTTTAAAGCTTTTGGCCTTGTTAAAAAATATATATAAACAAAATAAACTGTGATGTGAACGTTCTTAGAATCACTGGAGCAATTTTAAGCTGCTCTGCGGGGGGGGGGGGGGACGCTGTGGCGCGCAATGAACTGGAAATTGATCTGTCAGCACTATCCTTATCTTCAGGGCAGATGTTTTTATTTTATTCAGCTTATAATTCCTTACTAAATGCAGTATTTCATCACGATGAAAGTCTAAATGGATCATTTACACTATTACTTGCAGGTTAATAAATTAATAATTGGACTTTTTTTCTTTAAAATTTGTTTCCTATTTTATATCAAGTAATTTGATAATTTTAGAGATGCCATATTTTTAAAACATATTTGAATTCATAAAAAAATCATCAAAAAAAAAAAAAAAAAAAAAGACCTTAACCAAAAATCTTTTGCCTGATTCTGTAGATAATGTAATATTGTACAGTTTTCTTTGTTATATGATATATTTTAAACAGTGTGTTCAAATTAGGACTTTTATACTAAAAAAATTTAACTTATGTGCTCAAAATATAACTGTATGGAACTCGTACAAAAATTCCAGTCAATAGAGTAGCCATTAATGCTTCAGTAAAATAGTTCTATATCTTTATATATGAAATTCACAGATAAATGTATAATTTATATTATCATAGAGCCAGTTACTTGTTTAATAGAAAGTGCTATAAATATTAATTCAAAACTGAATGATTTTTGTTTTGCAGTTGCTTCTAAAAGTTATTTGATTTTTTTTTTTTTTTTTAATTTTGTTTAATAGCAGACACTGAAAAGTGATGTAAGCAAATATATTCTTGAATATCTCTACAAATTTTTTATACAGGATGTTTAAAAAGGTCATTACCAAACTTAACATGATGGTCTGTCATACCATAACAAACAAGATTTACATAGGAAATTTTGTCTGAAAATGCTCTACTACAGGGCAGTTTTCGCAAGCTTATGGGAGAGTGGGAAGTGTGATCATTTTAGGCAAGAACATTGCAGAAGAAGGATGAAATGATTTACTAACTCAGAATTGGCTGATATGCATTACATGTATGGTGTCGCTAATGAAAATGAACGAGCCATGGTGCAGATGCACCTTTAGTGCTTCCCAAAGAGATTTCAGTCAAATTGTGCTTTGTTTGGACAACTGCATTGCAGAGGGCAGGAACTTTCCAAGTAAGTAGCTACATCAGTCAAGAATGCACTACATGCACACCTGTTGTAGAGGAAGCTGTGCTACAAAAAACCGCAAGCGAATCTCCAAGTGACTGAATGTATTTTGTGTGTACATTGTTCCATTATGCGCATACTGCATGAGGACACGCTACACCTCTACCACGTTCAAATATTACAAGCATCGTGCAGTGATGATTATCCCCAACATGTTGCATTTGCACAAATGGGTCGCACAGCTGGATTTTCCGTCGTGGATTTTATTTTCCGATGTACCCTTTTTTATGTGAGACAGTGTCTGAACCTGCACAACATGCATGTGTGGACACTGAAAACCCAAGGTGTACACGTGCCCATGGAAGTCAACAACATTGCACCATCATTTGGGCTCATTTTAATTTGCCCTTACCTACTACCTCAAGCCCTCGACGGGTAAAACCTGTCGTACTTTTTTAGAGTATTGCTGGATCTGATGGTTAATGCTCCAGCTACACACTGAAACATCTGCTGCTAAAGCACTGTGCAGGAGTATCTCAGTAGGACATATCCTGATCACTGGGTTGGCTAAGATGGACCAGTCGCATGGCTATTACAATCCCTCCATCTAACACCCCTAGATTTCTACCTATGGGGATAGATGAGGTCCATGGTGTACAAGACAACCGTAACATCGAACATGGATCTCGTCACTAGGATCGAGGAAGCGGCAGCAAGTGTCTGCGACACACCTGCTCATTTTTAATGGAAACTCGGTGATGTGGTGAATGGAAGGAATTTTGTACATCTGTGATTTAACCGTGTTCTTTAATAAATGCCATATTTACACCTCTTTTGACATCCTTTCTTTCTTCCCCTGTATGCATGCAAACATTGCTCCGTAGTGGTTGCTGTTTGCATTTTCATACACAAGTTCCTACCTGAAATTTCTTTGCCATGGTATGAGACCAGCATGTTAAGTTTACAAATGACCTTTTGAGACACTCTGCATAAGTAAATGAAATGTTTTATATTAACTTGTGAAAGCATTATGAATGCTTTATTGGAATTTTTTCTCTATGAAGAACAAACCCACAAAATAAACCTTACATTTCATTATATTTAGAACTTTTTTACCCACATTATTGGTCAACAGTTTTTGTGAAACTGAGCAACTTCATAAATTGGAAGTACGTGTCTTGGATCAATATTCAAGAGAGTGAAGTCTGTAATCATCTTAGCTATCAAATAAATTAATTGATAGTAGTCTTTCAAGATGGAGGCTTAATTAAACTACAGATAATAATTCTTGTTATAGCATTTAATTTTTTTTCTTAAACTTTTCTTTCTTTTCTTTTTAATTTTAGACACAGAAGAAGCTGAATATTGGAAGAAGATTGAGAGTGATAGGAATACAAAGTTTAGCACTCCAGTAACACATAAAAAAAGAGGAAGAGATAAGGTTAGCTAAATTATATTTTAGTAAATTAGAATTAATTTTTTGTTTATTTTTAAAATGATTATTCAAGATGATACAGAAACAGATGTTCTTATGGTGTGACTGTTGGATCGCATTTTATGCTAATTTTGGCTGCCTATTTGATTCGGCAATGCAACCTCATGCATAAATTGTTTTAATTTCCCTTTTTACATTTGAACCTTTTCTTTTAGTGCTTGTTGCTTATCTTTTGAGCACAAATGTATAATCATATTGAATTTTCCATGCTACCTTTTTCATATAGACACAGCAAAAACTACTGAATATTTGGTTGGCTGAGAAACAAAAATCCTGCTAACAGTTATATATATTTATTTAGAGACGAGTTCAAAAAGGCTTTTGAGACAATATGCAAGGTTTCAAAATTTTGAAATACTACAGTGCAAGATGGCTTTTTTTTTTTTAGAGTCTTATAAGAATTTTAGAACATTGTGTCACTCCAATTAATTTTTCAATTGCTCATTCAGGTAATAATGAGAAAGAAGGAAAGAAATTTTAAAACATTAAAAAATATTACAAGCATATACCACAAAATTGTATGTATGTATTATATTTAAGATTATTTTGCCTTCATTTATAACAGTAAATATTAAATTTGTAACAAGCTCATTATATACATAAATTGACAACAGAACTTACTGGAATTTTTAATGAATTCATTTATGAAATTCATAAAACCATCAGTAACTTCTAAAGAAGATGCAGAAGTAAATAATTCCATTTGCAATAATAAACAAAAAGAAAAAAAAAAATTAGTGAGGGATGCAAAAATTTAAAAAATGCCCAGTTAAATAAAAGTGAAATTAATTTTTAATTTAGGATAGGCTTTTTTTAATACTTGCATGGTGATATATAACAGATAACTTTCCTCTAAATGATTCTTTTTTTTTAAAAAACATGCTGAAGTTACTGAATTAACTTAAAAACTTTCATTTTGTGACAAATACTTTTTCATCCCTTATATCTAAAATATCTTGGTGAAATAGAAATTGATTCACTATATTGAATTTAGATGAACTAGATAATTTAAAAAGATGCTTTTGATTTGCATACTGATATATATACCATGGGGAGGAACTGAAGAATTAATATATATGAATGGGTGCATTAAATAAAGTCTTGCTTGTTGTGAAAGAATTTTTAATAGTAACAAAAAGAGTCATTGCATTTTAATCAAATTTAGGTATGAAAATTCTTGAAGCAGTTGTTATTGAAAAATTATGCACACAGGCAGATGAAAAATTGCTATAGAAAAAGATTCTCTGATTCAAAATTTAAGCTTGCTGTGCAAGCTACTCATAAATGTTTATACATATTTTTGCAATGGTTATATGCGCATTCTTTGTCACCATTTAGATTATTATTCCTGATGGATTCTAATTTTCCATTCATATGACTGATTCAAAACAGTCACTTCAAAATAGATTTAGTGATATCTTTGCTCAAGTAATAATAATAAAAAAAAAATTTAATTGAATACACATATAATTTAAAAGAAGTATAAATTGGTTTTATATATATGGATTTAAAGTTAAATCTAGACTAATCATTTGAAAAAGATGTCTGTTATGTGCACATTTTTAAAGTTGTAAAATTGTCATTTATTTATTGACAAGTTGTATTGTAGGTTGGAGTCTAAGTGCTATGTTTAATTTTAAAACAAAACATTAACATAAAAAAGCTTTTAGTAATTGAATTAAATGAATGTAATAAGAAATTTACATAAAAATTTTATCAGTTTTTCACTTTTGTTGTTAATTACTAGCAAAAATTTTAAATTATAAAAGTTTGTCTCATTCATTAAGAATCACTATTCAGTTTCTTTTTATTAAGGATTATTACAGCTTTTTTTCTCTCATGGTTCAAATCTCTCTCTATATTTTATTAGTTTTGTAGAATAAAGTGTATTTTTTATACAATACTGAATGACATTTTGATAGGTTTGATAGGGTATTTATTTTTTCAATGCGTTACTGGCCTAACATTCATCTTCTGCATTTCATGTTAATTTCCATGCTATTTTCTGCCAAGTAAATTTTAGTCTGCTTTTTCTCATTGGTCTTATGTCAATATTATTCTTGGATTTTTCTGTGCTTAAAAATGCAATCACATTGTTAGATTGACATGAATTTTCAACAATAGCACATCCAGCCTAATGTCATCTTACTTTGTAAATACTTAAGATATTTTATCAATTTTTAAAATGTAAAGTTTGTTGAAATTATATTGTAATAAAGAAATAAGCATGAAAATGATGCAAAATCATATAACATTTTTTTTTTCCCTTTCAGATTATAGCAAAAGCAACAAAATTAGCAGAACAGAAAAATAAACACATTTATTTTGATGAATGATTTCACAATGATTTTTATTACATACTTTTGTACATATAATTACAAAATAAAGATTTTCCTAAAGTCAATCAAATTTCGTTCTCTTGTTTTGATTGAAATTTCCACCATCATAACTACGCTTTTCACCTCTACCTTGACCACCAAATCCTCCACCTCCTCCTCGACCACCAAACCCTCCACCTCCTCGGCCACCAAATCCTCCACCTCCTCCTCGACTACCAAACCCTCCACCTCCTCCTCGACCACCAAATCCTCCTCCTCGACTACCCCCTCTTCCACCAAATCCACCACCTCCTCGACCTCCAAATCCTCCACCTCCTCCTCGGCCACCACGTCCAAATCCACCTCTTCCACCTAAAAAAAAAAAAAAAAAATGCAAATCATTAAATTTAAATCATTCTGTATTAGTAACATATAGAAAATTAAATTATATGTTTAATCGTAATTGTTTTACATAATCGTTGTTTATAAGCATTATTTTCTAAAGAAATATCCAATAACTTTTTATTGATACTTTGACATACATAACTTGAAATTCTGAATATAATTAATTCTGTCAAATATTTGATTATGCAATGAAACATGATATTCCTGAAAGCAAAAATATATTCTGTACATAGAGAATTTTTAATAGACTAAATATTAAAATACATTTAAAATAAGGAAATATTAAAATAAATATGTAACAAATAATATAAAAACGTTATTTTTAAACGTAATGTTTTTATAAACACTCTCAAGCAATCTGGAAAACAGTTTAGCTGTTCAGCATTTTATTCAAGTAAAATAAATTCCAATATACAAAATAAAAGCTTTTTACATGATACTATTTATAAATCAATGTTTAAACTTCTACACTAATATCCCTGAATACAAGTTAAACAAACCTTTGATAATTACTCTAAGATCCACAACATATCTAAAATCGGTTATCATTCTTGAACAAAACACCTGAATGCAATTAATATATTTCAATTCTAGAACATAAGTATAATGGATAACTAATTAGAATTCAGTAAATTCTGAAAAATGTTTTGTTTTCAAATTAAGTTTTATTAACAAGTTTATTCTTGAATTTAAGATCATTTAAAAATATTTTTCTTGATCATGCATTCTTGCTAAGGTGGCCTAAAAATGAATATTACAATTTCATACTCAGCACACCTGCATATTTTTAAGACAGTGCCCTGCTGGCTTGGTCTTGGACACAGATTCAAATTTCTGAGAAGCCATGGATAGGACTTACTGTTTATGAGGGTATGCCTCTGTGGTACATGTGAGCAGCATTCTTGGTGATGGCTAAATGACTGATGAGTTCAACCATTAGGAAAAAATATTAGTTACATTTGTCTTCAGTATGAATGTATTAAATTTTCAAATTTTTAATATAGCTGTACTGCATTGCAGTGATCCCCAAGTTTATAACATAACTTAAAAATAAATAAATAAAAATTAGCAGTACATGAGTTATTTTAATTGTGCACTTATCTGTCTGTAAATATGTAGAAATAACTGTTTAGAGCCTAAATTTTTCAAAAATTCAAATTTATTCTGTACAAATATGTTGAGTTGTTGTCCAGACGGTATAGTGGCTAGAGGAACCGAAGGGCCTGAGTTTGAATCCCAGAGAAGATATGGATGGTTGGAAATGTATAGCATCGGTGCGGCTCAGCGGCACTCTAAATGTGCGGTGAGCTGAAAATCCTCTCGTCTCGATTGGTGGAAAATATAAGTCCAATCTCTGTTCGTAGTAGACTCTGACAACCATTGTTCCATGTAATATATAGCCAAGACAAAACATGTAAAGTTGACAGAGTGATAGTTTTGGCAACTAGTTTTTATTGCCAAATTTGATGACTACCGCTGTTTAGAACTTTTGTTGATTCTCTATCAGTGTATTAATTTTAGAAGATTGAAATGAAAAATTGCTGTCAATAACAAAATTTCAAGATGGAACTAAAGAGATTGCTTCTGAAACTACATATAATATACTGAAGCAAATTATACCCAAAGAATGAATTTTGATCAAACTGCTGGAAGGTTGGCAAATATCTACAACAGCTGTTAACTAATGAAGCAGAAACAAGTTTCTACTAACTAGTTCATGAAAGTAGCAGTAACTGGTAGAAATTAATAAAATAACTAAAACATTTTTATAGTATGATAAGCAACATAGAAAAATGTATTTTTTAATTAAATAAGTTCAATACATTTATTCAAAGATCATATAACGGCAGATTTACCACACCAAATTTTGCTTTAGCTTCTCACAGAGTAGTTTATAGCAGCTTCACTGCTATTTCAAAACCGAAAGAATTTCTTAATTTATTGTGAATAAATAAAAACCTAGAAGATATTCTTTGAAATCCAGAAGTTCCTGTATGCACTGTCTTCATTTGTGTTACCATTAAATTAGATCACTATGTAGAAGTTGAAGATGTAAAAATATGTGTTAGAAAAGCTGATTTTGCATGAAAACCATAATTTAAGTCACAAAATCCAAGTTTTTAATAAAGTTTCTTTTCAGTCATTTGATAATTTTGTTTTAAATGAATCATATTAGCTCACACATGATACTGACAGATAATTTGAATGAAAGTACTTTTAATTCATTTTAAAAAATGTCCATAAGATTATTATCTGGCATTAACTGTCAAACTAATATCACTAACATAATAGAAGAGTTAATTTATAGATCACACTTAGCATAATAATAACAGTTTTATAGCTACAAGCAATCATGAAAGAAATGTTTTACAATACTTCTTTAATTATCGTATAAGTTATGACATGTATCTCTTCTTCCTCAATATCATCTTCAAAATGTTTAAGTATTTGGAAGTAATATAGACAATTTTTTTATGAATCACTTCTGACTATCGCTGCCTTTAATGTATCTGTATAATTTTTTAAGCCAAGCATCTTACTATGTGATGATTATTTATTACACTTGTTTCATAACTGATTATGCAGCATATGTTCACAAGTTTTAAGCACCAAGCAGCTTTCTTCAGGAACCTTCTTCTTCCTTTATCTTATTCTATTCCCATGATTTGTTAAAAGAGCTTTTACTTTTTTTTCTTCTTCTGCTACTGCTGTCTTGGCTATTTGTGGGTAGTTTCTTACAATCTTTCCCTGTATTTATAGAATTAAACGGAATATGTATACTCGGTTACCATTATGAATAGCATTATTATCAAAGTCATTATGCATGATACTCTATCTTGAATCTGGGTGTTTTTCAATCTTGGACATCAATTAATCGTATACTTTTTTTTTTATCTTGTGTTATATTCTTTAATCATTCAGCATAGTATTAGCCATTTGGTATTTATTGATTAGGCACATTATCTAGTAACTTGTTGCCTTTTAGGAAATGTGTAACCTGTGTCACTAGTCATACAGGTAAAAGATAAAAGCTCACTGAGAATGAAATTTCTCAGTTGTAAGAGAACTTTCTGATAATAGCAGAAGAATATAATAGTAATAGAAGTATCCTAATACCTTGCTACTGAACCACATCAAAGATCTTTTTGTAGATTGGAATTGATTTAACGACAAAGTCTATCATACTGGTCTGATGCATTGAAAGTCTGCCTTCTTTTTCCCCCTTCTTCTTCATGTTTTACTTTCTTTGCATATGCAGCTGAATTATTTGGTAAATGATTAGGTACTTCCATTAATTGCTATGTCAGAAAGTAAGCCTTGCTGCTTATTTTTACTTCTGATATTATACTGCACTTTTTCTAATGCTCTCTTTCTCTGAAAAGTTTATTACTAATAACATTTTTGCAGCTAACACATGCTGCTATAACTGTTTTTCTGCATATAAAAACCTTTATGATTAGAAAAAACAATTTACATTCAAACTTCCTTTTCTGACAAAACTGATTCTTTAACATAAAACTATTTCTGAAATATATGAGACATGCTGTGACTGGCTTCAGTCACTCAGCTTGCCCATTTGGTGCATTTAGAAATGCCAATTTGAAAATTATTCTTATTTTTAGAACACTTTTTTAGTTATTACTTTTGTTTCTTTGCTGAGTAAGCAAAGAACACAAAGATTATCTGTCTAAAGGGAGGTACACAATATAATTATTACTGCTATAGACTAGCTTTAAGCATATTTTCTTTATAGTCTTTTTATAGTTTATATATAGTATGTATTAAAATTAACAAACATTACAAACTAATAAAACATTTTAAATAATTTGATTATTTTTTGCCAACTTTAGGAGTTTTTAATGATAAAACTACAATCTCTTCAGCAACACATCACCCAAGATATTAAATATATTGTTACAAATTTTGTATTTGTTCTATTTTTCTGTGTAATGTAGTGCGTTACACAGAAAAATAGAACAAATACAAAATTTGTAACAATATATTTAAATAAGTAAAATTGTTCTATTTTTCTGTGTAATGTAGTGTGGGACATATCAGACTTGTGCATTCAACGTATTATGAACTCGTACACATGCAACACTTTTCGGTGTCAGAAATGAGGTCGAATGCCAGTGACAAAAGCAATGGAGAAAGAATTAAAATTAAGGCAGTTGGTGGCAAAGTTTGCTGCATTCAAAGAGATGAAGGCGGGCCAGGAATCTGTTAAAGAGGAGATGAAAGCAATTTAAGTAAAGATGGAAACTGGTTAAGAAGAAACAAAAAGAGAAATTACCTGCATATTAGAAAACAAATTTGAGGCTATGGGAAAACAGAAATGACTCAGTTGAAAATAAAGTTGGACAAAGTGAGTCTTCTGTCAAAGAACATACAGAAGAGTCTGCCGTGGAACAACAAATTGATGACAGGGTTTCTGCAGTCGCCAAAGAAGTTGATATTTTCAAGCAATAGTAATAGCAGGACGCAATTCTGATGGTTTAAAATTTTTACCCATGCCTGCTCTTCCTTCTCTGAAGTTATCCACATATGATGGGAAGACCTCCTGGCAACTGTATAAGACACAGATTTCTATAGTGGAGGATGCGAATCGATGGGATTCCAAAGCTAAGGCCTGTCATGTTGCCACTTCTCTTACAGCAGACACTGCAGATATTCTTCAAACTCTTACCGAAAAACTAGAAACCGCTCTGTCTGGCACGTTTTTGCTGCAATTTGAAGAGAAGTGTTTAAAAGATTACAGCAGGCTTCAATTAAAATCCTGTCAACAGAAGCCCACGGAAACACTCCAGGAGCTCGCCATAAATGTTTAAAGGCTGTTTCATCTTGCTTTTTTGGAGCACCTGATACAAACATGAGAAATCCTGTCGTTGCAGTACTTCATTGATGGCATCCGGGATCCAGAAATACAAAAGGCTCTATGAATGGCAGATGACAAGGATTTAAAAAGT